TTTATGTGTGAGGCTTCTGTTCCCAAACCTCTTCTGCATTTTCCTCATGTGCAAAATTGACAGAATGTCGCTCACTTTGAGGATCAGCAGTAAGGTGTGTGAGTGCCTAGCTCTGTGCTTGGCACATGATTAGAACCCTGATCATGGCCACTGTAGCTGCTGATGGCTAGTAAAGTGCCCTCTTCAGGGACAGGTACCCATTACCCAGAGCCAGCCAAGCCTTCTCACACAAGTGAACAGCACTTCTGGAGGCAAAGGTACCACTTAAATTTAGAACAAATTTAAGATGGTCTATTGCCCCCTGACCCCAGCAATCCTACAGGCTCCCTCCCAGGAAAGCTAACCACTATCAAAATTCCCTTCATCCTTCTTCAAGACAGGGATGCAGAGAGGACCCATGAATGGGTTTCAGCCCTCTGTGAGTCCTGACATTAGATGTAGAGTTGGATGCGGGTGTGTCTTTTCTGCAGGGGATTCATGGCTTCTACTGAATTCTCAGAGGTTATGCATTTGTTCCAATGACCCCAAAACTAAATTACCCATTGTAGATCACATACTTGCCCTCTAGCCTCTCTCCTGTGAGAACACTAATGACCTCTCTGACTCATTGCACATAAATTTCAGGTATATAGACAATTTGGGAAAGTTTTTGTAAACTTCCTGGCCTACATCAGAATGGAATGTTCATGTTAAAAGACAGCATTTACAATGAGCCATCCTAAGAGCTGCCTTGACTTCCTTAAGGTCCACTGTGTGGGAGGCACTGACTCAGGAGCTTCCAAAATGGAATTCCCCAGTTCTCACTCATTCTTCCATCATGTTTTACACACCAGGCATGACACCACAGGTCGCAAGTGCAGTGGTGGGAGATCAGAGATAGAGTCCTGACAGAAATTACATTTTATTTATTTTTGGGGGGGCATTAGTGGGAATTGAACCCAGGAGGTGTTCTTATCACTGAGTCACATCTCTAGCTTTTTTCATTTTTGGAGACAAAATCTAGCTAAGTTTTGCAAGCTGAACATGAATTTGCCATCCTCCTGCCTCAGCCCCCCTAGTTGGGATTGTAGGTGTAAACCACTTCACCCAGTTAGGAGCTTACATTTAAATGGGGGAAAAGATATTAATCAAAGATTGCTCAAGAAGATATAAAATTACTAATGTGCTAAATAAATACCCCAAAGAAGGGTTATACAGTGCTAAAGAGCTCACAACAAGAGAAATAAACCTTTTTAATGGCAGTCAAAGGATTTTCCTTAAGAAAATAATGATTACATTTAAATTTGAAGAAAGAGTAAGCACTTGATGGGAAAAAGGGTGTGAGTGTGGTGGAGGTGGGAAGAAGAGAAAGGAGAGAGAAGGGTGTTCCAGGCTAACAGAGCTTGCAAAAGACCCTGTGATAGGGGACATGGACAACTTGGGGATGGATCCACACAGGGGCCAAGTCACTGACTCTGTGTGCCATAATAAAAAATCCAGTTCCTATTCTTAGAGTTCAGTGAAGGCAATCAGGTGTTTCATTGGGGGGGGGGGTGTGATCCGATCTGCTTTACCAATGATCACTTTAGATGATGTAGGAATGAACAAGAGGTCAAAGTAAATCAGACAGGACTCATTTGGAAAATACCACAGTGACACAGATGAAAAATGATTTTAGATTAGATGGGAGTGGTGGCAGAAGAAATCCAAAGGCAGCAGACTAAGTTCAAGATAGGAAATCCAGTGGATATGGGGGTGGTGAGAGGCAGAAAGGTATCCAGCAGGAGATCCAGATTTCTGGCTCCTGCAACTGAAAGGAGGCACTGTCATTCTGAGATGGTGCTGCCCAGCCTTGGGCTGGTTCAGGTGGTGTGTGTTGAATGCATGGGGTTGCAGAAGGTCAGCAGAAGGCTAGATAAAGTGGTTTGGGGGTCCAGAGGGAGGTTCAGGTTGGTGGAAGCAAAGCGGGTTATGCATGAGGAAATGGTTACCGGAAGAGAAAATACACTGAAAAAAAGAGAACACTGGCAGGATTCCAACATTTCTCCATTCTTTTATGTGTGAACACACAAAGCTCAGAGAGGAATAGTGACAACTTGGGGATCAAAGTACTGGTAAGAGGAGGGGGTGAGGGCTAGGGATGTGAACATGCAGATAAGCAAACCAGCAAGCACTTCAGAGCTCAGATGGTACTGGGAAGGAGAACCCAAAAGAGGCCTCTGAAACAGCAAAGTCAGTTGGTGATTCCTGGAGAGATGAATCAGAATGTTGAGCAAGGCACCAGACAGAGACAGAAGGAGGGGGATGTGGAGACGGACACGAAAGGGATATCTGATGGCAGAGAGGTGGGAAAAGCATGCAGCATTGGAGAGCACAGCACTAGCCAGGGCACAGGCTCCATCTTGAGGAATATAAAGAGGTGAGCAATGGGTAAGGCTGGAGTAATGGCAAAAGCCAGATATGAAGAGGTTTTGAATTCTAAGGTAACATGTGGGGTTTTTTTTTTTTTTGGTTTGTTTTTCATTTTTTTTGTAGCTATAGATGGACAACATGACTTTATTTTATTTGCTCATTTTTGTTTGCAGTACTAAGGATCAAATCCAGTGCCTTGCATGTGCTAGGCAAGCACTCTGCCACTGAGCCCCAACCCTAGCCCAAGAAGTTTTAACTTCATCCTGAAGTCCACAGTAAGGGTTTTTCAAGAAGAAGAGTGACATAATCAAATGTTAGAACATGCCTGTGTACAGCACTGCAGAGAACTGAGGGAACATTCAGGCCTGTGGCTGGGAGGCCATGAGAATCCCTATGAGGTCATCAGTCTATACAGCTTCTGGTGATCTCTACTAGACAAACAACCCAAGTGTCATTTCTATGGCCCTTCTCTTCCATTACCTAAACTTTTGGTTAACTTTCCATAAGTCAGTGAGTGCCACATCTCCCACAGAAGACTTAGGTTCTGTGATAACAGCTATAATCATATCTTGTGATATCTAGCCCAGAAGGAGGTGCTCAACATATGTACTGAGTAATTCCAGGCTTTTCTAAAGCCTGGCTCTAACCAACTGATACACCTCTAACAAAGTGAAGGGCATTATGCCTGACATTGGCAGAGTCTCAGGGTTGGATACTAGTGAATCCCCAAGAGCACTTAGGAGGAGGCCTCAAGATCTCTTCAGTCTTTCAAAAATATGCTGCTGTTGGGGAAGTGCATACATACTGTGCACTTGCTACATGCCAGCCATTTTATATTATCATATTTAATCATTAAAAACGTGTGTAAAGAGGTAGTGTTGGTAACATATAATAGAAGAACTAAGGTGAGAACAGGTTATGCAGTTTTCCGAAGATCACAGAACTAACAGTGGCAATGCTGGTGTCAAATATAGATCTCTTTTAGATTCCCAAGGTCAAGCCTCCACCTGAGAGACATAAAAGAGAGATGGCAGAAAGCACAGGGGCTTTGGAAGCAGACTGTTGACTCTGGTGACTTTCAATTTCTTATGCTTCAAATGGAAAATGCAGACACTGTAACACCTATTTCACAGTTATTATAAAAAACATCAAGTTTGCAAAAGCCCCTTTCAAAGTGTAGACTGCTCTACAGATTGTTATTATTTTGGTAGAGTGGCACTTTGTGGGGGGTATTTATTACCACATTCAACCTGACCTATGGCTGCTTTTGAGCAAGCCCTGCCTGCTGTCACAAAAGAACCTCACACTTGGGTTTAGGGCTAGCTCTATGGTAAAGTGTGTGCTTTGCATGAGCAAAGCTCTAGGTTCAATCCTCAGCACCAAAAAAGAAAATTATCAGTGATTAGTCTTATTGCCACTAATTTAGCTGTAGTTCTATGAAATCATCTGGAGAAATTAAGAATTTTATTAAAAATTCAATTCTTGGTCCTCACTGTGAAAAATGCTGATGCTGCTGAATATTAAAAAAAAAAAAAAAAAGGATATCCTAAATTTAGGCTAAGGGATAATTGGGTCATCAGTTAAGGGACTCTTTTCTTAGCTCTGATATATGTACATGGCTATGACATTATTCCACTTCATTTCACAATACTTCACCGTCTCCCATATGGCTAAGACAGTTTACTAGTGTTATCCTTGCTTCTAAAAGACACAGGACTGTTTCATTCATTCAAAAGAACCTTACTGGGGGCCTCAGACAAATGCTAGACACTATGCAGACACAGATCCATGAGACATGGGCCTTGCCCTCCAGGAGCTTATAGTCTAAAACTGCATGAAAAGGAATCCAGACAAGGTACTATAAATGCAGATTAGGAATAAGTGTAGTGAGTCCAGATAAGGAGAGATCATACATGGCCATCCCCATGAGAACACTTCATATGAAAGGAGAATTGCAATAAGGAGAGCAAGAGTTTCTCAGGAAATGTTTCAGGAAGATGATAGTGTGTGAAGAAAAGGAAGATATGCGAAAAAGGTCTATATATATTTGATTAGGTGGCAGTAGAGATGGTCTGGTAAAAAACAGATAGGATTAGCTGGAGCAAATATTTATGAGGAAAATAGTAGGAGACTGAAAGATAGTCTGAGCCAGAAGGAAGTCACCATTAGGCTTCTGGCCAATGAACGACAGAGTGAATTTAAGTAGTTTGAGGAAGATTTTCCATATTAGAGTCACGCAAGATGGCAGCAAGAAGATTCCAAATATCCAGGAGTGAGAAAAGGAGGGCCTGAGCTACAGTGATAGCACAGAGAATAAAAATGAAAACACAGGAGTAAAATACATCAGGAGAGAAAATCGAAATACCTTTATCACTAACAAGAAGTGAGGAATCCAAAATTACTGGGAGCTATAAGAGAACTGGAGCAATGTAAAAGAGGAGCTGGTTTGAGAACAGTAAGGGTAGGAGAGGACAGATATAAGAAATGTTCAACAATATCATTTGGAGAGTGGAAGAAATCTAATTTTAAATTTTTTAGCAGTCTATTATAATATGAACTTGAGATTTTTTTCTTTAACCAGATAACTAAATACTCAAAGTTTCTCTGACCTTTATCCTTTGACCTTGGAAGAAATCACTGTAGTGCTTAAGCAAGGAAACTCGCACCATGTTGTCATCATACTTGATTAGGAAGTATGGTAGGGCTGTGACACCTTCTGTTTGACAAAGATCATCATATGCCCGCTCAAGGGCTTGAATCTGAAAACAGAAAATGTGAAGTTACTCTCTAGAAAATTACATATCTACCTCTGAGTTAAAAGCTGATATTAAATACAAAGTACCTTAAAGCCAAAAGACTACAAATTACTGACCAAAACTCTGCTGGATTTTTGTAGCAAATAAACACAAAAGTGCCCCCTAATAACACCATTTGACTTTTACATAACACTTTCTATGTGTATGGTGATGTGTCTTAGGGAAACAAAGGGACATTTTATGGTACAGCGTGGTGGTTCCCTAAGTTGTCAATCACAGAGGCTGAGAGAGATGGTCAAAGTATTCTATCTTTCCTGTGAACATAAACCTACCACTGATAAATTTTACCATAATCTTTAACGGCTTTATTAAGATATACTATACAAATTGTCCATTTAAAATATATAACTCAATGATTATTTTCAGTATGTTCACAGAATTGTACAACCATCACTGAGATAATTTCAGAACATTTTTGCTCCTCCTTAAAAGAAACCCCATACCCACAAGCAGTCCATCTCATTCATTATTATTTTTACCCCAATGTAGATTTCTTTTTGACAAATTAGTCAGGTAAAACCACTAATTCAGGTAAAACCTTGAATTTGTTCTTAATATTATTATTATTATTATTATTATTATTATTATTATTATTATTATTACTGTTATTATAATCATTAGCAGCTGCTCTATGGCTTCAGAATATAGGCTTTTAGTCACTGATATGCTTCTTGAATTAAAATGATCTTAATATTCAATCTTTGCCTTAAACAATAATCAACATTCTCTAGTTTGGGGTCTGTGTTCCACCAGCCTAATTAATTTAATTGCTCTTCTCAGGACTGATCTCTAATGCCCTCCTTAAATGGCAATGCCTAGTTCTGCATGATGGAGACGTTCTGCTACTTAGTGTGAGGGTGGTGGAAGCTCTTGTATTTTGTTTCAAAGATTTTCTTCCCCAAAGATATTGCTTTATATTTCCACACACTGAAAGCGAAAACCACATTTTGGTAAGTGCTTCCAGCCTTTCAAAATGTTCCTATAATTCCTTCCTGCAGGGTTAGTCTTTCACCAAATACCATGGAACACCTATGTAATTCCATACCATGGAATACTGTTCTCTACCTCTAGAAAATGACTTCACAATTTGTGAATACATCTGGCCTTTGGAGGATTCTAGTACCACCTCTTCATCCAGAGGTGTTCCTGTTTGCTTAAACTCAACTTTATCTGAATTTGTTTTATAGGCTAATACCTGTTTTGATGAAAACCTTTGATCCAAACCTACTGGCGCCTGAATAAGAGGAATACTCTCTGGAAGACAGAGGGCAGGATAGCAAAACCAATAGTAGAAGTGGTACTTCTTTAAATCCTAGAACAAAACATATAAAATATCAGAAGAGCACTAATAATTAAACTGAAATGCATATAATAATGTAATGTCTCATAGCTAATTAAGAAAGGAAAGCGATGCACACAAAATATGTCTAGCTTGTCAAATATTCTCATCCCAACAGAAATCCCAACAGAACACAGAACTTCTGCCTTGATCCCAAATACCCTCCCAGCTGAGGATATAGTTCGGTGGTGTAGTGCTTGCCTTGTAGGCACAAGGCCCTCGGCTGCATCCCCAGCATTGTCCCTCTATAAACAATCCCAAGTACCCTTTCACAGTACACACTAATAATGTGACAGTAAACATAACATACTTTATTGATCACTTGCTAACAGAAAATGTACAATATGTCATTGATATTATCATTGGCATGCTTTAATACAAACCACCCTTAGAGACAACTATTATTATCCCATTTTATAGACAGAAACTGAAGCTTGGAAAAGGATAAAGCACTTGAACAATAACAACAAAAGAGGTAAAGGGGGAGGGATCAGAACTATGTTTCCATGACTTCAGCTGCTTCCATGACTGTACCACACACACTTGATGGATATGTGGTGGAGTAATGAATGCCAATGCCCATACAGCTCTCTTCACAATGAAATAAGTTAAGCACATCATTGAGGAAACCATGTCATTCTTGTACCCATGCCTGAGAAAATTCTTTCTATAAAATAATTGGGACCAGTGGTATTATGGATTTGGGTTTTTTTTTTTTTTAAGTACTGAGGTATTTGTATACACATAATGAGATATCTTGGGGAGGGGACCCAAGTCTAAACATGAAATTCACTTATATTTTATATACATCTTATGCACAGGCTGAAGGTAATTTTATATGATATTTTTAATGTGCCTGTATTTTGACTATAGCCCATCACATAAAGTCAGTTGTGGAATTTTCCATTTGTGGTATCATATGTTACCATTCAAAAAGTTTTGTTGCTTGAGTATTTTTTTTAAGTTTCAGATTAAGGGTGCTGAACCTATATATCATTGCTTTTTGAAATGCCTTGCTGGTGAAATTCAAGTCAACAACTATTAACTAAGCACTTGCTATGTACAAGGCAAAATATGAGCCATTTTGATAAAATGAATCAACCTTGGCCCAGCCATGGGGCAGCTCATTTTCTATGTGGAACAGAGATAAAATGTGTGCAGGATTAACCATAAGAGTCACACTGAAGTTTCAAATACAAAGGAGCAACAGTGGTAGAAGTGTTTTCATCTTCACTGGGATTTAAGCCATTTCCATACCAGGTTAAAGCAACCCAAGGACGGGGATTTGACCCAGGGAAGAGGATTCATGAGGCTATCCTTGATACTGCTCCCACCTGGGCTCTTTCTTGTCTTTGAATTCCTGCAGTGTTTGGGGCCTGCATCACTCATGTGGTACAGTACCAGATTTACATGGGTACTGAGCAGCTTCCTCACTTATCTGTGACAACTGGACACTAATACAGTTATCTAGATAGTTAATATTTCTTCTTGAATCTTGATAAGAATAAAAACTGTGGCTTGGTATGACTTTTTGTTTGTTGTTCAATGGTACTGGGGATTGAACCCAGGATCACTCTACCACAGAGCTATAGTCCAAGATCTTTTATTTATTTTTTTTTAATATTTTTTAGTTTTAGTTGGACAGAATACCATACCTGTATTTTACTTATTTTATGTGGTGCTGAGTATTGAACCCATCGTCTCGCACATGCTAGACAAGCGCTCTACACTGAGCCATAACCCTGGGCCACCCCCACAGATTTTTTCATTTTTAATTTTGAGACAGAATCTTGCTAAGTTTCCCAGGCTGGACTTGAACTTGAGATACTCCTGCCTCAGCCTCCCAAGTTGCTTGGATTTCAGGTATGCACCATTTTGCTCATCAGATGACCTTTTTAAAATTGAGAAATAATTTATATACTATAAAATTCACCATGTTAAGCTGTCCATTTTAGTGGGATTTTTTTTTTCTTTTAGAATTTGGACAAAACTGAACCACCATCACCACTAATTTTAGAATATTTTCATCAGCCCATAGCCATTTCTGTACCTTCTAGTAGAATCTCTCTACTCCCCTACCTCTCTATCCTCTAGCAAACAACCACTAACCTATCATCTGTCTCTATGGATTTGTCTGTTCTGGGCTTTTCATACAAATGGAATCATACCTGATGACTCTTTAAATATAAATTTACATATAAACATGCTTCCAGATAAGAAGGTCTACTAATTAGTTTCCACAGTGTCTAACTCTACCACTAATTGATCAACTAAGAAAAAACTCCCTTTTCACGATGGCAAAACAAACTGAAAAATTGAAATTAATGAAGTGTCTGGTCCTTTGAGGCCTAAAAACAGCAGAAAGGAAAGCAAAAACATCCCCCAGAGATGATTCTCTCTTCTTTGTACTTAAATGATTTGTCATAACTGATCTTTAGCGAAAGGTTAAACAATTCAAGATGAAGGACCTCACACATTCTAAGGAGTTTTATCAGGTCACCTTCAAAAGCCAAAAGCTTGAATTTCTTAGGATTCTTTTCAGGATACAAAGGACCTTGGTTAAATTAAACATAAGGCTCTTTGAGCCTGAAGATTTTAAAAGAGAAATTAATTTTTTTTTCTTTTGTAAATCAGGCTAAGAACACTCAGAAAGGGCAGTGAGGCCAACACACATAACACCTCTGAGAAATGCCTCCAAACTTTAAGTCAGAGCTGTTATTTCTCATTAAGGGCAAATTGTTATCTATGTTCTATTAAAGAGAATTCTTGGTATAAGAAATGTATTAATGTTCAACTAAAACAACATAAATATTTAGCAATATTTAAATAAATCTATCCTAATAGAGAACCTACAAAAGTAATCAAATGTACAGAAAAATGATTACCATAACTTATTAGAAAATGTGCTCCTTGTAGATAACCACACATTGCTATAATCTTTGGGGTCCCACCATTCCCTCTGTGCTTGGGCAATAAAAAAGGGAGGTGGCATTTAGGAGAAGCAGATGAAGCTGTAATGATACACACTTCATCTATAGCAAAGAACTTACTCTAAGCAAATAAAATGAGCAGGAAAAAATATATCAATATGGTCAATATTGCTTCCTACAGCATTTTTTATAATAGAGAACATTAGAAACAACCTAATGGCACACACCTATACCATAATCTCAGCAACTCAGAAGGCTGAGGCAGGAGGATCATAAGTTTGAGGCCAGTCTCAGCAATAGTAACACCCTGTCTCAAAATTTAAAATAAAAAGGGCTGGGGATATAGCTCAGTGGTAAAGTGTCCCTGTGTTCAATCCCCAGCACTGAAAAAAAGGAAAGAAAAGAAACAACCTAAATGTACAACAGGAGTCTATGGAATATATACTAGACAGAACATTATACAGTTAACTTAAAGGACAAATCAGTTTTACTTACACTTACAAACGTGCCCTCACATGTTCTAAACAATGGGGTTATGTCTAGGTAAACCCATTATAAGTTAAAAACATCACCTGGGTTAAACATGCATTTAATATACCTAACCTACATCACAGCTTAGACTAGTCTACCCTAAATGTGCTCAGACCACTTACAGTAGCCTACAATTGGCCAAATTATCTAACCCAAAGCCTCTTCCATAAAGTGTTGCATACCTCATGCAAAGTATTGATCACTGTACTGAAAGTGAGAAAGGGAATGGTTGTATGGATACACTTTCAGACAAGGCTGAAAAATCCTAATCAAACCATCAAAAGCCAGGGACCATCTCTACACACATTTGCATGTGTGTGCGTAGCTAATATCTTTACAAGCAGCCCTTACCTTTCCCTAACTTGCCTCTTCACTGAGACTTAGTCTTTCCCTCCAGCTCCTTAACTGTACCCTCTGTAGGCAGTGATGTTACCCTCATGTGATTCCTTTTCCTCTTCAAGGCTTCCCTTAATGTATTTTAAAATTAGATCATATATATAGAAGGCATTTTCCTTTGTTTATTAATTTTTACCTAAAAACTTTTTTTGAGACAAGGTCTTGCTATGTTGCCCAAATTGGCCTCATACTTGTGATTATACTGCCTCACCCTCTGAGCATTTGAAGTATAGGCATATGACAACATGCCCGGTTCTTCCTTTGTTAAAAAAAAAAAAAAAATTATATGGTCAAGCCACATCGTGTGAGCTCCTCTAACCCAGAAGCTCTTTTCCCTTATTTAAGGGGTGCTACAGTTTGAATCTGGAGTGTCCCCCAAAGGCCCACATGTTAAGGCCTTGGTTGCCAGACTGTGATGCCCACTGGCAGGTGATGGGGATTTAGGAGGGGTCATAGTGAAAGAAACTGAGGTTACTGGGGATGTGTCTTAGAATGGGATATTGGGACCCCCCCTCCCTCCTTTCCTGTCTCTCTCTTTGCTTCCTAGCCACTCTGAAATTAGCAGCTTCTCCACCATAAACTCCTGCCATGAGTGCTGCCACAGGTCCAAAGGCAACAGGGCCAAGTGACCATGAGCCAAAATAAATTTTCTCCTTATAAGTTGATTATCTCAGGTATTTTGTCATAATGACAGTTAACACACTGGGCCTAGCAACTAAGCTTTGCAGGACTGTATTTAACAAAGATGTTAGTTGGCAATAATGAAACCACTGCTCCCTAAGCCTGACTTCATAATGTCCTTAATAACAGGAGTTGGGTCACTGTGTTATAGAAACTATGCAACTACTAACAGTGGGATCAGTACGAATGAATTCATTTTGCATTGTAATAAAGCATTATCTGGCCACTAATCAAATTAGAGCTTCTTTGACAGCTATAACAAATAACACGAGGTAACACCTTCAGAGAGAAGAGAGCAGCCTGTCCTCTTGGTCCACCAGAATGAACTGGGGATTTCACCAGTCTCAATACAACAGGGAGCCTATTTACTTACTGCAAATGTCAAGAGGAGGAACTTGTTGAGGAATACAGGATTTTCAAGAGCAGCACCTGACTTTATGGATTCCCAGATCTGCCAAAAGAAAGAAAAGCGTTAAGACAGGTTGCCCAGCAACTCTGAGCTTCTCACTGTCAAGCAAAGTGTGAAACTGAGAAGCCCCAGGCTCTTCTTGTTTTGAGGCCCAGCACTGCTTATCCTGGGCACTGAAGAGGGTCATTACTTCCTGGCCCACTTGACACTGCCTGTCAGCCATGCTCTTGAGCCAAGTAAGGGAGCGTCTCCTCCAGCCAAAGCATCTCCTCCAGCCAAAGAATCTCCTCTATGGGAATCTCAGCACAAAAGAGACAACCAGGTCACTCCTGTGCATTCCTGACATCCTTCAGTAGCTACCTACTTATTTTCTACAACAGGGTTGCAGAAATAAAAGACACAGCCCCTGCCCTCAGGAAGCTCATAATCTCGGGAGAGAGACAGGCATAAATGTACAAGTTCAACACCATGTAGGACTTGCTATCATAGAAGTAGGTAATAACAGACTGGACTTGCTATCATAGAAGTAGGTAACATCACCCAGCAGGGATTCTTGAAGGAAGTGATCTCAACTACAGTGAGGGGATTTCTCAAAGCCACACTTGGGATTATCCTGCCTTGAGAGATGAAAAGGAGAATGAAATACAAGTTTATGTACACTCCACAAGAACTTTGGAAGCTAAAGCTGGTCCTGGTCACAAGATGTTTTAGTAGCTAAGATTAGCTGCTAAACTTTGTGTTGCTAAGCAGGACAAAATAGTCACCCCAACAGAAGAACCATTCCCCAAGGACAGCTGTGGAAAAAGCAAGGAGAAATAAGCCTTTACCATTGACATCATGGCTTTGGAGGAACTGGACCTGAAACAGCAGGCCCTGGCTTTCTCCTGAGCCAACATGAAGGTAAAGTGTAAACCGCCAGAAGTCTGAGCCCCTGTCAAGTGTCAAGGGGTGGAATTCCTGTGAAGACAACCTACTTTTCCCCTTGATAGATTAAGAACTGTCTCAACTCTTTGGAGGTTCCCTTTTAAGTGTGCAGCCAAGGCAAGAGATCCAGAGGCAGTCAGGTCACAGGTCCAGAAAAATGACCAGCCATCACCACTTAAGTCACGAGCCTCATCCACTGAGAGGGATGTACGGGAAGCCTGCCTTGGGACCGGCTGAGAGATTTTCTTCCCTGACCATTGTGCCCACAAAAATAGGAAACCCCCTCTTTTTTGTTCTCCTACAATTGTTGTTTTTGTTTTAAGCATGGTACTTTCAAAAAGTCTTTTATCCACCCTCTCTATATTTTCTCTCTCCTCTCCCATTCCCAACCTCTGGTAACCACTCTTCTATTCTCTACTCCTATGAGATCAACATTTTCAGCTTTCACATAAGATAAGAACATGCAGTGACTGTCATACTCTGCCGGGCTATATCACTTAGTTCCACCCATGTCACAGCAAATGACAGGATCTCTCATTTTATGGCTGAATAATATTCCACCATATTTATGTACCATATTTTCTTAATCCTTTCAGCCATTGATGTACATCCCAGTTGAGTCCACCTCCTGGCTATTGTGAACAGTGCTACAATAAACATGGGAGTCCAGATGTCTCTTCCATATAGTCATTTCATTTACATGGGCTTTATAAGAGTATATACCCACAATAGTGGGTATATACTCTTAATAGTGGTAAGGAGGATTGGGATAAACTGTCCCTCTTTTTTCTCTCTATCCCTATTTAAATTCTTTTAACTCAGCTATGAAGCAAAGGAAAGATATTCCAGGTATAGAGAACATCATGTCCCAAAAAGACAAGAGAGAAGAGAAAGCAGGTGATGGGAGTTACAGCTGATCTGCTGTGACCAAATACAGTCCAAAGAGACCAACAGTGGCCTTATAAATCAGAAGCAGATTAGCTTTAGCCCTGAAGGTGCTGGAGATTCTGTATAACTAACCTCCCATGGCATCGTCATGCACAGGACGACCAAGCCTCTTTGGGGCACAAGGCACAGAGCACCTGGATGCATTCAGCCACAGGAATGTAACTTTCAGGGAGAGACCAGGCTTCTCCAAAGTGCTCACTGGAGATCAGCAAACCTGAGTTTTCACCCTCTGGCCTATGTCCAGCTGAGAGCCAGTGTCTTCTCCCTGATCTTCTTGCCAGTACAGAAGGAGCAATTTATTTCTCTATAGAGAAATAAACAGAGACCTGCAAACATCTTCAAGTATTTATTATATACTAGTTTCTGCATCAGACCCATGTGCCCGATCAGAAACATGTTACCTGCCAGGCCCACAGAAAATGGCTAACCTCATTGGCTGCTTGTTCCAGAAGGAGCTTCTTATCCGCAGTCTTGAAAGACTCCAGTGTGTTGGTGTTGTACAGTGTCCCTACAGCAGGGCAGCAGTGTGCAGGTGTGGGAGCATTCCTAGACACAGAGAGACTCAGTTAGCAGGCACCGCAGGGACCCTGTGTGAACCAGGGGAATGGCGAGGAAACCAGTTTCGCCCAGCCGGGAGAAGACTAAGCGTGGGACCAACACCATCATTCCAGGACTGAGAAGCAGGTGCCATTCCCCAAGAAGCCTACGACAGCATGCTGCTCCTCACTACCTCCCAAACAGAAATTCCTTTTCTATCTTTTATTCTTTCTTATATTCAATCTAAGAGGGAAAACCTTGGGTCAAGAAGTATGCCAAGTGTGAGTTCTTATTAATAGCTCTTTTCCCCACTTAAAGACTCAAGCAACCTGCCCCAGGTCATATAACTCTGGGTGGTCAAATCTAAAACCAGAACTAGTTGACTTCAAGGCACTGTGCTGCCCGGCCCCAGGGCCCTGCTTTAATCCTCTATTACAGAAAGCTAGCTCCCATTTTCTCTGGTAATAGAGGACACATAAAATGAAACATAATATTTTAGAGCATTTGTAAGAACAATGGCCATTACATCCAAGTGGAGGACACTAAGCTCCCAGAGAGCTGTAAGCACATTTCCTCTGCTTATTCCACGATCTGGGCTCTGCACTTGGCTGCTGCTGAGCAAATCCCCAAGGGCTATCAGAGTCAGCAGACAAAATGTCCTGTGCCTGGGCCACCTGTCAATCTATGGCACCACATGGTTCATGCACGCTACAATGCCCCCCAAGACCTCAAGATCCTCAGAGAAATCAAAGTTAGGAAAAGAGATGATGAGTTGATTCTGAATACAAATTCAGACATGGACAAATCTGCTCTCTCTTCTGAGATGATTAACTTATGTTTCAGAGGTTATAGATGCAAAATGAATATATGCATTTCATTAATGACCTGATATTACTGCCATTTACAACCAATGCAGAGAATGCACTGTTACTCGTTACACTAATGGTAGCTGCTTGGTGTAAATAACCAGTGTCTTTTCATTTATTGTCTTCAAAAAAAAAAAAAATGGGTTTGGGGAGCTGAAGGAGAAGAGCTCTAAACCTAGAGCAGGTGTGACAGGATATAAGAACTCTCTCCAATGCTGCCTGTGAGGCTCAAATGCCAAGTTGGGGGAGGGAGGCAGACAGCGATGGCTCAAAGGCTGAAGCCTTCCCTTAGGAGCTGTGAGTCAGCAAATCACAGGTTGTTTGTCACCATGCTCCTCCAATAAGGGAATATTCTTCATCCAGGTGAGATGAGGACATCAAAGATAGACTTGAGGAGAAAGAGAAATCACAATGGGCAAGATTAGGCCTACAGTGAAGGAAAAGGAAGCAGAGCAGTTGGTAAGCTAGGCCTTTCCACCCAGACTTAACTCTACGGAATTACTGCTGAAATGGGACCCTGGGACACAGGGAGGATGCTATGAACTAATTCAAATACAAGTACAGAAGAGGAAGTTTCACTTCTTCCCAAGTGTCCAAATGTAACAGGTACATGAGGGCCATGTCAAAGCCTTACTCTGAAAGGGGAGGAACCTATCTCCTAAGAACCCAAGCTACTGCCAGGATGGCTCCTAGAAACACCAACACTTAGGCCAGGTAATAAATGATGAGGATTGGAAAGGAGAAGCATTATTTAGGACTAAAATTCTATTGGGGAAATAAATTTAATAATAATAATAATAATTAATAATAATAATAATAATAATAGAAGGAAAAGCCCAATACTTAGGGATGAGAAATTTTAACTCGAACAGTTCTGACACTATTTTGTAGTTTAGTTTACTATGATTCTACTTATGTCCAAACTAATCAAATTCACCCAGACACAAAGTAGATTCTTGGTTGCCCAGTGCTGGGGAAAGGGAGGAGACAGATGGAGAATGACTACTAGAGGTTTCTTTTTGGAGTGATGATAATAGTGACGATTGCACAGCTCTATGGGCATACTAAAAACTACTGATGTGTATACTTTAAAAGGGGAAACTTCAGGCTAGGGTTGTGGTTCAGCAGTAGAGCGCTTGCCTAGCACGTGTGAGGTCTTAGGTTCAATCCTCAGCACCACATATAAAAAATAAATAAACAAAATGAAGTTATTGCATCCAACCACAACTAAAAAAAATATTTTAAAAAAGTGGGGGGGGACTTCATAGCAGGTGAAATTTCTCTCAATAAAGCTGCTAAAAGAGTATGAATTAGAAATCTCCCCTACATACTAAACCCAAGAAGGAATTCTCAATGATGTACATACTAACCTGGTGCCCTTTGATGTGAAATGTCCTTCCAAGGCCCACATGTTTAAAGGCCTGGTCCTCAGGGTGCTACTAGTGGGAGGTGAAGGAATCTTTAGGAGGTGGGGCCTAGTGGGAGGCTCCTAGTCCTTGGGGACATGCCCTCCTAAGGCAGTTCGGCAGTTCTCCTGGGACTCCTTGCCAGTACTGCTATAAAAGCCTGATATTGGCCCCACCCTTCTCTTGCTCTCTCATCCTGTTGAAGATGTGACCTTTCGTTCCTGCACATGCTTCTGCAATAATGTGCCATCACTTGTTTCCCTCACAAGAGGCTAAACAAATGGGTCCCCAACCCACCCCATCCCTGATCTTGGACTTTTAACTTCCAAAACTGGGAGTTAAATAAATCTTTTCTCTTCATAAAGTTTGATGCCTCAGTTATTTTGTTGTAGTAATGCCAGGCTGACTAACAAACCTGGTAAAGTATGGATTTCACAAAGGCCTAAATTCTGGGCCTATGTGGGGACATAATGTTTTTTAAAATCTCAGTAGTATGCACCAGTTATTTCCTGGCAGCGGGTAACCAGAACAGAATAAATCCTCCAGAAGAACAGAGGTTGAATTTTATACCTACAGAGTTCTTTACTCCACACAACAGCTTTGCATAACTATGGGGAGCTTGGGGAATCACACCCTTGCTTCATTTTCTCCTATTTTCCCTAACAATCTCTGAATTTTAATTTATAACATCCTTAATGGAGTCCACTGGTATCTTTCCAAAAATACCACATCCCATTTTGACAGCCTACAGTTATTTAAGCAACTAGTATGCACTAACCCTATGGTAGATGCAGGCAGCACAGGAGAGGACAAGACAGACACAACCTGTGTCCTGCGCACAGGCTTTTGCACAACTACTTTTTAGGTTCTTTGAGGGCAAGAGTTATGCCTTATCTTCTTCCAATCAGATCTAATTTGAGGCTTAGAAAAAAATTTTCCTTATGATTAAAGATAAAAATAAATAATCTTCAGGATAAAGAGGGCCCAGGAAAGATTTTTTTTTTTTTTAACCATTTCACTTGGGTACAGAGATTGTCATCCAAAACCGACCTTTCTCTTCAACAGAAATTGATGACATACTCAATGCTTATAGCCAGGCATACCATTTTCCAGTCTTTCTGGCCAGAAAGGCACATCTCTTCTCAAAAGAATCTGAGGGGAGTAGTAACACATGTCCCTTTCCAGCCAGGCTCTTTAAGAGACAGGCTGGGCCTCCATCTTCCACCTATTTTCACTCTGGCTCTATTTCCCATCTCCCAGTTGTTACTTGAAAGTAACAACTCAGACTTAACTAAAGCACAAAGGCAAAGCCCTTGAGGATGATGGAGCCACAAGGTGGAAGACAACCAGATGCCATCCCTGACTATTAGGTAAGCAAGAAATAAACCTTCTTTGCATTTGAGCTCTTCCATTTCTGTGTCTGGTTCAATGGCACAACCTACTCTAAGACCATACTCTCATCTTCAAGGCATGGCACCTGATTAAAGACTACTTGAGCAACTCACTCCATGTAATTTAAAGAACAGCATCCTGGTGCTGCTAACTGCTAACAGAGATCCTTAAGACTAGGAACCTCAGGGAAGGGATGTAGCTCAGTCTTAAGAGCATATACTTTGCATAAATGAGGCTCTGGGTTCAATCCACAGCATCCAAATAAAACAAAAACACCCAAATAAAACAAAAAAATATGTTTTTTGGTTTTTGTTTTTTAAAAAAAGACTAGGAGCCCAGAGTCAAAGGGGTTTATCTGGTGCTATGCAAACATGAGACACCTTTGGCTTCAACAGATAAGAACCAGGGCTGTTCGCTCTCAACTGTTTCTCCTTCCTCTCTGAATGCCCAGTGCCTAGTGCACACAGTATAATCAAGACACAGAGGAAGCAATCAATGAGTATTCCTGAAATAATAATCACCTCTCCACATTTATTAGTCACTGAGCACACTACAATGCAAATATCTGTCCTCTCCTCCTCTCTCCCCATCTCTCTCATACTGCAGTGGAGCCCTAGAGTCCTAAGTCTTTGCATTTCTAATACCCACAGTCCTACAAATTGTAGACATTCAGTTTGATTAATAAATTCATAAAGATTTCCCCCCACAAACCCATGCAAGATAAATGATGATAAAAACAAAGAAAGTAGCAATAACAGATAACTTGGACACAGAAATCTCCTACCTTCTGAGGAAAGTCCTAAATGCTTGTATTAAAATTCCTAATCATGCTACAAAAGAGAGACTCAGAAAAACACAGACGTTTAATAGTAGTGGGAACATTAGAAGCCCAGAGATGAGAAAAAAAAGCTAAAAACAAAACAAAACAAATAAAAACACAAGACTTATTTGAGGTAGCACACTTAATTAGCCATAAGTCCCAGGTCTTCAAACTTCAAATTCAGGGCTATTTTCACAGCACAGGGGCCATGTTTTCCTCCTGCTCACCTCCCCAGTGTCTGCCACAGTGATTCACACACTGGTGGTACTGAATGGGTAAAGGAAAAAGTATCACCAGCGTAATCAAGCAATTTGTGTGACAGTCATAGATGCAGGATCACAGAGTTTCTTTGACCAAAATGGATTACTCAAGATTTGTATGCTTGGATTTTGTAATAAGATCAAATTTAACTTCCTTGAGCTGCTTTTTTCTTACTAATGTCTCAAAGAATAAAAGTTTTAATGCTTGTACATTTTCAGTCTTTTCATTGTTATATTGCAGTTGCCCCCAAAGTTGATCAGTCTTGCCAAAACACCAAGAGAGCTTACTAGTACTTAATTTGTTTTGAGAAGTAATCACCAGAAATTTGATGGATCAAGAAAATTCCAAAGGAGAAAAGAAAGGCCAAGACACACTTTATAAATGTATAAAGCCTAACACTGTTTGGGGTTTATGTTATACTTTTTTTTTTAAACAATTTTTGTGTCAATTTTATTGAGGTACAATTCAATTAATATAGAGTAAGATTTGCCAATTTTTGTGTGTGTGTATTTGGTGCTGGGGATTGAATCCAGGGCCTTGGGCATGCAAGGAAAGCATTCTACCAACTGAGCTATATCCTCAGCCCTGTGTTATGCTTTTAATTTTGCAATCTGATGGAGATAAAAGAATAAAATGTATTGATTTTTTTGAGAAATAAAACAAAGAATTCTAGAGACACTTTATTTGCAATAGCCTAACCACTGACTATACTACTGCCACTTGGAGAAACCATGTGACTTTACAAAGACTTCTGCTCTCCCCAAAATTCCTCATCTTGACCCTGCTGAGGTAGCAGACAGTGGAAGTGGATCTCACCAGAGCCTTTACTTCTTTAATCTTCCATAATCTTAAGGCCCCTCAACATGGTTATGCGTCTAACTGCAACCCTCCCCCCCGTTCTAACTTTGTGTAAACTTTAGTTTGAGAAAATGAATTCACAAGGACCACAAATGCTTTCATCCACAAGCCTAAGGACCCTTGTACTGAACTCTGACCTCTGGACTTCTCACATTGTTGATCTTCTTCTCCTTCATCAAAGCCCTTCCTCCTTTGGTTTATATAGGACTTTTCATTTTTCAGACTATCCTATGACAATCCATTTCCCAGTTTTGCATCCTCTAAATCAGAGCCACTCACTGATCAGACCCTCTGTTCTTCTCATCCACTGCTCTCTTTCCTGCATATGGCCTCATGGCTTTTTCTGCATGGATGACCACCATACCAACTACTCACCTCTCTCTTGGACTCAGTCCATCTTGACATTTCTGGGGGATACTGTCACTCAAACTCAACATGTTCTAAGCCAAAACTGCTACAATTCAGAAATACACTTCTGAATACATTTTAGTTTTCCCCTCACCGGCCCCCCCCAAGTCCTAGGGATGGAACCCAAGTTCCATGCTACACTTGTGTTCCATGCTACACAAGTGCTCTCTCACTGAGAGCAACACAAGTGCTCTTTCACTGTGCTTTCTAAATTTAGCTAGCTGTGACTTTTTGACCCATTTTATCTTTTGACCCAAAGTCTCTTCATCTGAAAAAGTGAAAAATCACACTTGGCAGATCTGAAAGGATTAAGTTTATAGAAATGCCTAGCCAGTTAAGTGTTCAGTATATGCCTCTCTTCTCTCCAGCAACTCCCCTAGTTGCCAAGTGGATTTAAAAAAAGAAATATATCTGTCATATCCTTTGAACATTCCCATAATGTCTTGCACAGTGGCTCCTATACCAATCTGGCTTAATAAACATTCATTGATCAATGCATACGCTACTAAAGGAGTAAGTCAAGAGAATAAAGAATCGTAAAATATAAGCGACAATCAAAATCTGGAGAGATGCTCGCTAAGTCTCAATCTAGATGGTAGCTGGTTCCTACAAGGCTCTGAAAAATATTCATTTTTTTTTCTGCTAAAAAATGAACCATTGACACCTAAAAAAAATATTTAAAAATGAACCAGAAAGTCCTAAGCATCTAGCACTTATCTTAACAGGAGGCACAAGGGAACCTGAGGCCCTGGCTCTGCTCCCCAGACCCTCTCCAGCTTCTCTTGTGGTCCACCTCTGAGGGAGGTGAGAATGCTCACTCCTTTCCAAGAACAGTTCTTTAGATTGTGAAAATAAATACTCACATGTCGAAAGCACTGAATTCCAATGTTAAGCGAGCTGGCAGTCCCGCAGAATCACCTGAACAGAAGAATGATTGCATCTTCAATAACAAGTCAGAAACAGTAGCATTCATAACAAAAATATTTGCAATCGTTTTGTTCTCTTTGTTGATGAAGCTCCAAGGGCACCATCCAATCCCTGCTTATCTGTGACACACAGATAATATCTGTATGGATAATGGCAGAACGTGACAGGGATTTTGTGAGGGATTTACCAAAATTATAAGAAGGACTCCTGGGGGGAAAAATATTTTGGATCTCTTCTTTCCGTAAAACTAATTAATCAGTATTCAGATTAATAACTTGCATTTTACTATTCTATTTCTTTTCCCCAGAACAAGAGAAAAGAAAAAGGAACGTGGGTCGAAAGTCAGAAAGGAAAAAAGAAAGTGAAGAGCACTTAATATAAAAGAAATGGGAGTTCCTTTCTAAAGAAAAGCTGAGGACTGGGGTGTAGCTCAGTGGTCAAGTGCATGTCTAGCATGTGCAAGGCCTAGGTCTACAAAAATAATAAATAAATAGATAAATAAGTAATCTGGTACTATACTAGAGGACAGAGAGGATCCAGAAGATGATAGGAGAGGCAGTTTATTACCACCTTACCATTGTAATAATAACCCTTAATGTCCTTGGGGGCTTCATCTAGTCGATATTCATTCAACTTCTTCTGGGTCAACTCATGCCAAAAGCCAACATCTAAGGCACTGCTGAAGGGGGCAAACTGCAATTTGAAGAGTCCAGGATCCCCCATAGCTGCTGCTCTTAATTGGTGCCTATTAAGAAACACAGTAGAATACAGTGAAATAACATTCCAAAACAAAACCCATAAGAAAAAAAACATTTGTAATAAAGCTTAATTCACACAAACAAAAAGGAGAGGTACATGAACCATCTTACAACTTGACTTTTTAAAAACTTTGGTAAAACACATTCAACATGCCATCTGCCCTTTTAACCATTTTGAAGTTTCAATTTGGTAGCATGAAGTATATTCAGATGCAAAGCCAATCTCCAGAATCTCTCCACCTTGCAAAAGTGGAACTCTGTATCCTTTACACAATTTCATTTTCCCAGGCCGACACCCACCATTCTTTTTTCTGTCCCTATGAGTTTGATGATCTTAAATATCCACATATAACTGGAACATATCAGGTTTGTGTTTTTATGACTGTCTTATTTTACTGAACACAGAACCTTGAAAACTATCATAGTGGGGAAGTGCTGGAGAGCCAAATTGTATTGTTACATTGTATGCATGTGCTAAAAATGTAACAAATCCCAAAGTTCTGTATACTTAGAATGTACCAATAAAACAAAATAACATGGAGAGTTGGGTGGAGTAAACTATCCTAATTTCCTGTGTTGTCAAGTTTGGTCTCCTCATGACATGACTTTCCAAAATAACCCTTTCTGATCTTAATTTTATTTTTGCAGTGCAAAGGATGGGCCCCAGGCCTCACATATGTCAGCCAGGTGCTCTACCACTGGGCTACAAATCCAGTCCCTGGTCTTAACTTTGGTGCCTCTTCCTTTCACGTCAGTCAGTCAGAGTGATGATGCACTAGTGTTTACTCCTTCTTCTACACGGTTAAGATCTCAGAAGTTACCGGCATGGTGGCGTGCACCTGTTATCCCAGCAATTCAGGAGGCTAAGGCAGCAGGATGGTGAGTTCAAAGCCAGCCTCAGCAAAAATAAACATTAAACAATTAGTGCAAAATAGGGCTGGAGATGTGGCTAAGTGGTTAAGTGTCCCTGAGTTTAATCTCCAATTACCTCCACTAAAAAAAAAGATCTCAGAAATCATCACCATCCATGTGGTCCTAAGAAACTCTACAAATACAAAATCCAAAGTTCAGCCAGTTAGAAACACAACAATTCAACTGCTGAAATTCTGTCTGAGTACTGCATTGTCCTCCCCAGCCGAGGAGAATACAAGGCAAATTTCTCGTTACTTCCTATGCCTTTAATTTCTTTGAAATTTCGTGTTTGCTCCCTTACATGCATGGCAACTTTGCATTTTACACTATAGTATAGATTTGAAAACTTCATCCCCGCCCCAATTCATCAAATAAATTTGACCATCCTGGCAATTGGGCATGTGTACTTTGCACACTCAGGAAACACACACTGTATTATGAGAAGCTCAAAACAAGAAGATCCTGGCAGTCTAATGAGATCAGCATAAGCATTATTTCATTCAGGGTGTTTCTGACTGTATGTGAGAATACCTTTCAGTTACCATAACACACAACCATATCTTAATGCTCTCTGTACCAAAGGAAAAAAATGAAAATAACTCAGCAACAGTCCTGTTTGCCAAAGAGATTTGTGTCTATGCCCTAGATATGAGTATTTTCAGTGTACTTGTTCAAATCTCTTGAATTAGACTTATCTACCTTCACGTACTATGCTGGGGATGGAACCCAGAGACTCAGAAATGCTAAGCAGTGCTCTACCACTTAGCCACATCCCCAAGCTAAATCAATCAAAGTTAAATCAATTTTTTGGTAACCAACAACGGGTTTGGACAATTAATTTAACTGCTAATTCCCTTTGAGTTAATTCCAATATCAGGCTATTATTTTTCAGGGTCTTCTGTCTGAGAGTGCATTGATTTCCTAATTTTTCACTTAGCTACACAGTTATACATGTATATTGGGTTTTATGTGCCAGAGCTGATAGCTCCACTTTTAAATAGCCTTTGTGAGTTACAGAAAAAGGAAGAAGTACTATATATGCTTTACAGGATGGAAAACTAAAATTTTCTAACATCACTTACATCTGAAAATGTTTTATTTAAAATCTGTTTTGAATTAATCACCTTCTATAGACTGATCTTTATGTGGACAAAATTTAAACAAGAAAAAACTTACAACTTTGAAAATTAATTAGCCATTGTTTTTCTTTAATAGTAGGTCAGGCAATGTCATAATGAATGTTCAAAACTAATTCCTTTATATTGAAGCAAAAATATATTTTCCAACTTTTAAAATGGCATGAAGGTTTGGGGGTGTAGTCCAGTGGAAGAACATAAGCTTAGCACACAAGGCCCTGAGTTTGAAGCTCAGCGCACATACAAAATAAAAAAAAAATTTAAAAGCAATAAAAATATCAGTCTGATTCTGTCAATAATCATCAATTACTGTGGAAAACCTAATCAATCAACTACCTGCCTTTCTAGGACTGTGTTGCTTGCATTTAAGCAGAATCCTGAGGTAATTATAAAGAATAAAATGTAGATAAGTGAGGACCTTAATATCTTTTGATATATTTTTGAAGATACATTTTAGATGATAACTAAGAGACTTAAAATAGATTTTATCATGCTTCTTCAAGGCTAGCCCATGTCCAACAAAATAGTTATATTTTATCCAAAATGTAAAATATAGCATTCAGTATTCTTTATGCAATTCATAATAAAGGCTCTAGTTTGAGGAGGTAAGAACGTGTCTTGACTGTGATCTGAGGCATAATTTAGTAGGAATTATCCAATATGTGGCATGTTAGCTAAAAAATGGTATTTGCTTTGTTAATAAGCATTGTCAAAGGGCATGAGTCCTGGTTTCTGCCACCTTGTTAGGAAAGAGGTCATAAGAGTGCCATAATAAATGTTCAGTAAATTCATCAAACTCACAATGTCAGTAAATAGATGAAATCTTATTAGTAAGTTTATTTGTTTTAAAACTGTATGTATAAAATAAAAAATTTCCATACTAGTGGTCTCTGTAAAACTCTCTGGCTTTGTTACTATAATAGTTATCCTCCAATAAAACTACCAAGTATTAAAAAGACAGTTCATATCCAGAGAGGTTTTGCCAAAGTTTTGTGACAAGATTATCATACAGCTTTCAGCCCAGCATGGAGGTACATGCCTGTAACCACAGTGACTCAGGAGACTGAGGCAGGGCAATACAAAGTTTGAGGCCAGCCTCAGCAACTTGTCGAGACCCAGTCTTAAAAAATATAAAGGGGGCTGGGGATGTGGCTCAAGCGGTAGTGCGCTTGCCTGGCATGCGCGCGGCGCTGGGTTCAATCCTCAGTACCACACACAAATGAAGATGTTGTGTCTGCCGAAAACTAAAAAATAAATATTAAAAAATTCTCTCTCTAAAAAAATAAATTAAAAATTAAAATAAAAAGGGCTGGGGATGTAATTCAGTGGTAGAGTATCATTGGGTTCAATTCCCCAGTACTACAAAATAGACAGATAGTAGATAGATCCATCTTTCAGTTTTCCAACTTTATTGGATTTTAGAATCAACGATGAGGAGCTTTGATGTAACTATATAATAAAATGCAACACTAGTGCTTTACATAAAAAGTCAAGATGGTTATATGAGTTTGGGGCAGGACCACAAGAGAGGCTCTGTGAAGGAGTTAAGACTAAGAGAAGATTGAAAAGAATGGTAAGGACAAGGACAGTGGGTAGAGAGTGGAAGGGACAAGATGATCAGAGGAACTATCCTGGTACAAAGGGGAACAGGAGTGTTTGTCCTGAGTGGAGGGTTTGTCCTGAGCAAGAGCAGCACTCACAAAGCTGAATGGGTCACATGAGTGACCACACAGGGAGAAGCTGCAGGTGAGGCTGAAGAATTCTGCAAGGGAAGACAGTGGCAGTTCTGTATGAGACTATAATACAATTCAGCAGTAGCAAAGAGGCTCTGAAGGAAGCAGAGAGGGAAATCAGGCAAAGAGTTCAAGAATCTATAAGGATCCAGATTAGAGAAGAAGTGAAACTGTGAAGGAGGGGCTTGTCCTTGGGGATGCAGAAAACAAAAGGTGACCAAATTTAGCATCTTGGTGGATTCAAGGAATGATGGGGAGGAAAAGGCCCTTGGGGGTATCAAGATTCCAATGGCTATAAGAATGAAGCCCAGTGAAAGAAAGGACACTTGAAGGGCAGGGCCAGGCTCAGAGGAAAGAATAACAGCACATAAAGGAATTTTCAGCCACATACAATGGCAGGGCAACCTGAAGCTGATCCAAGGAAACCGAGGTGAGCTTGGGAAGGTGGGTCCTGAGATAATAGGATGGATGCTGAGATAACAACTAAGGTGGGTAAGAAACACCAGCTCCTAGGAAGAAAAGCCCCAGATCAACTAAGTCCTACAGAAAGTCCACAGTCAGGAAGTAAGAAACAGAACCAGTAAAACAAATAGGGACAGCAGCAGCAGCAGCTGATAGGCCAGATAGGTCCATCTATGTATCAGCCCAAAGCAATAAAAAAAACTTTAAAGATAATGATGAAAAGATGCTAGAAGTCAAAGAAAATGTCCAGTTAATGCCACTGGATTTTAATGTTTAAAAGGAGCTCAGTGATGGTTCTACAAAGTGCAATTTGATAGAAAATTGCTAAAAAAAGAACAGATTGTAAAGGCAGGATCACAGCAGGGAAGTGACTATGTCCCAAGCAAGTCGGGGGCGGGGGGGGGGGGAGGGTTAGTTTGCTGCTGGATTCCTCCTAGGCAGCTGTTCTCCCACAGGCTCAATTTTGTTTTGTACATTTAAAAATATGCTTTGGCAATAGAAGTCCGATTGTGGATAAATGAAAAATTTGTAAAATTTGGGGGCTTACTAAACTCAGAAAAACAAAAAGAAAACAAGAGATGGTAGTAATCATGATGAAATATTTTCTATAGCATTGATAAGCCTTATTGATCACAAAGGTAGCCATCATTGTCCCTAAAATTCTCTGCTTTCCAATACTGTTTATGGCATCAGGCACCAGACAATGTCTGGCCACGGGCTTTCAAGCCCACCTTGAGGGACTCT